GATAAACATATAAATATTTTGCAGATGATGAGTTTGGCTATTACCATGATAGCAAAAAAAAATAAAATTGACCGTTTTCTGCAGTCTAATGAAAAAGCTCTTGGTAAAAGTAAAAATAATTTACTGATTAAAAAGTTTTAGTATGACTTTTATAACGAAAAATGATCAAAATTGAAGATTTTTTTGCAGCCTGATGTTAAAGTTATTGATTCGCAGAGAAATCATTTGCTAATTGATGAGTTTGTGGCAATAGCCAAGATAACAAAAAAAAATTTGACGGTTTTCTGCTGGCTATAACAATTGTAACAATAAAAAAGAACAAAATAGATACTTTTCTATAACCTAATGAAAGAGTTCTTGATAAATGTAGAAATTATTTGTTGATTTATGTGTTTGGCTATAACCATGATCACAAAAAAATGAGCAAAATTGACGGTTTTTTGCAGCCATATGAAAGAATTGTTATTAAACGTAATAATCATTTTCTGATTTATGATTTTGGCTATAACTATAATTAGAAAAAAAATACAAAAGGAGCAAAGTTGATGGTTTTCTGAAGTCTGATGAAAGAGTTCTTGATAAGCGTACAAATCATTTACTGAAGATGAGTTTGGCTATAACAAAGATAACAAAAAACATGAGTAAAATAACGATTTTCTGGAGTCTAATGAAAGATCTTTTGATAAATATAGAAAACATTTGTTGATTGATGAGTTTTTGATAATTATGTTGAATCTGGATCTCAGTATTACCAATGAGATGATTTGTTGGTAATTACTTTTTTATTTTTTTTGTCGTCCACAATCAAAACTCTAAAATTTTCGACGAAACGTTAACTAATTCTGATGTTATAAACCGGGTGTCAGGAATCCTGAAAACGACGAAGTACCTATCGTCACATGCAAAGAGAATGCTATAAAATGATGACGTTCGTTGTTTTCTTATTGTCTTGAAATTTTTGTTTTTTTTTTTTTGTTTGTTATGATTAGCATCTTATTGTCTTACCATTTATAATATTCTTTTATCTCTCATGATTTTACGGTTTATGCACGATAACTTACACCATTTGTATATATTATTATTATGGTGTTGATAATAGAGTGATATATTTTTATCCTTAAATTTCGTTAGTATATATTTCAGTTTAACTGTTGAGATTTAGTTTCTTTTTTTGTAAACTTAATTTATTATTCTTATGGATAAATTCTATATCGTTTAATCAATATTCGTTTTTGTTAATTTTCTGATTTAGTTTTTAATATATATTTTCCATTGTTATGTTCTTTCCAAATAATCGTTAGGTCTATATATACGTATCGCGCGTTTATACCTCAATGATACCTTTTACCTCTGATTCATGTGATGGTGGTTATTTTCATATTGCGTCTCTTAACCCTAACATGGGTGAGTGGTCTGTTTCAGTGAAGATTTTGAATTGTTGGTCTGTTTCGCGTGGCTCGGGTAGAGAGCTCAATATGATTTTGGGTGACGAGCATGTTAGTATTTAAATAACTTACCTTCTATACATGTTTTCGATATTAAATTGAATTAATTTTTTCTTTAACATTTCATTTGCAGTTCACCCAAATTCAAGCCATTGTTCGTGATGAATTAATTGATAATTATTTTTCAAAATTGATAATCGATGAGTGGGTGAGCATTAAAAATTTTGATGTATCACGGGTTAACAGCATCTTGAGACCAGTACCGCATAGATTCAAGATTGTGTTTCGTTCGGACACTTTAGTGCAAAGTATTAATATGTGCTCCAGTAGAACCTATTTCAATCTAACTGAGTTTGTGAGTATATTGAATGGTATTGTTAACCCGAATATTTGCGTTGGTAAGCCTAATTTATGAATTTATTTGTGCTTTTGGAGTTTATTTGCGATTCATGTTCTGACTGTATTATTCATGTGTGTGTTTCATAGATGTTATTGGCAAAATTGTCAACGTGAGAGAGTTGGTTTTTGTTCCTTCCGTGGAACATTCTCAAAGAGGATATTTTGAGCTGTACTTTGGTTTACGTGATACTGAGTAAGTCACTATTTTTTTTAAGATTTAAACCAGAATATAAAGTCTTATGACTTCTTCAAATCTTAAAATTAGGTGTATCCATCTAGAGTGTCGTTTGACGGGTGACCTTGCAGTCGAGTTCTATGACTTATGGAAGCGTTGTTCACGTAACACAGTGATATGTATTATCAAGTTTGTGAAATTAGAGCTATCACAGGAACATAGGTGGAGATGTACCAACGTTACCGGATGTACGAGGTTTATGTTGAATCCGGATCTCAGTATTACCGACGAGATGCTTTGTTGGTAAGTATTTTTTGTTTTTTTCCCGTTTACAATCAGAACTTTAAAGTTGGCGACTGAACATTCACTGTTTATGGTGTTCCAAATCGGATGTCAGGAATCCTGAAAACGACCAAGTACCTATCATCACACGCAAGGAGAATGCCATGGAGTGATGATGTTCGTTGATTTCTTATTTTCTTGGCGAATGGTTTTAAAAGATGATTTATTATTATTTTCTTAGCATTTATAATATTATTGAATTTTTTAAATTTCATCATTTACCATATTTTATTAAACTAAACCCTAAACAATTTACCATATTTTCTTACACTAACAAGTGACACCTAAACAATCTCTTATCTCACATGATTTTACCATTAGCACAACATTATTCCCGCGCATTTGCGCGGGCAGTCCCCTAGTTATTGTAATACATTTACCAAATAAAATTTTCTTACCTCTTTCTTAGCTCGAATAAATTTTTGTAATTCATTTTTAATATATTTATCATTATATTTAGTTTTTTTTTGTGATACAAAGATTGTTATAATGTTATTTAATTTAAAACTTAAGGTTTAAGTATTTTTCGAAAACAAAAAGAACTTCGTTAGAAAAATTTGGTCCTTATGATTAAAAAAAAAAAAATCATATGTTTCATGAAAATTTATATTAGTTAGAATAGAAAATTAGAATGAAATCGTTATAATTAAAATTATCACTCATACTTGAATTGAGTGAAATATAGGAAACACAATATAATTAAACCAAAAATCATTTTATTAAATCCTACAAAGATGAAACCATTAGTATGAAATTTAGCACTAGAATTTAAATTGATGAGTGAAATTTAGAAAAAAACATAAACGAAAGATAGATAGAAGTTATCCTCGGGGTCTTTTAAAGAAATCTTTAGACTGAAGTTCAGATGATATTATAAGAAAACAAATTTAGTTGGTCACTTACAAAATAATATAAACTAGGATATGACCCGCGGTACACCGCGGGTTAATTATTTGATTTTTTTTTATCTTTTAATAAACTGATGAATTTGGTGTATATATTATTTTTTGTTGTACACCGCGGATCACATACGTTGTAACTAAAAAATATAAAGTTTAAGTTGTATTTGTTTTGTTTAGTGTTTAAAATTGTATAATTGTATTTTGATTTGTTCATCCTAGGATTTCACCCGTGATATATTTTCTTGTATTAATATCAATCCAAATCCGTCCCACCATATAATCCCGTCCCGTAAAATTAAACATCATTTTTTATTTTTTTAATAACACTTTTATTTCAAAGACATATAATTCGAATCAATTTAAAAGTTTGCTTTCAAATGGTTTCCATAGTATATATTTTAATTAGTGTGTGTTTTTGGACCAACCCGTATAAATAATTTATAATTTTATCTTAAAATACTAAATAATTGTATTTTGATTTGTTAATTTTAGGATTTCTCCCGTGGTATATTGTTCCGTTTTGGATAATTGTAGAAATTAAGGAAATATCCTAATGACAATTCCGGGTCAGAGTAAAAAAATATATGACCTGACTAAAGGCGCAAATTTATTCTTCAAAAATGTTAATATAGATTGTACACATACATTTTTTCTTCATCGAATAAGTTGTTTTAAAAAAATTGAATCATAGCATATACAGAAAAAAATCAAAATTTTTATTAATTATATATATTATATAATAGTTCAAAATAATACAAATATATGATCATATAAAAGTGAAATGAGAATCACATATTTATGTTTAAATTACGTAAAGAAGTTTTAGGAAATTAGCTCAAATTTGTTATATTAGCATTAAATCATCATATTTGATTTCTTTATCTATAAAAATCGTAGAGAATATGCCATAAATAAAGAGTTTAGGTATAGTAATTAGGTGAGAAAATATAGATAACAAAAAAAAAATTAGGTGAAAATATATATATATATATATATATATATATATATATAGATTTTATTAATTAATTTCGTTTTTGAATTTTACCAAAATTTAAGAAAATATCCGATTGAAGATTTCCGGGTCAAAATCTGAAAAAAAACTCGACCCGATTGGATTCTTTAAAATGTACTTCAAAAATGTATAGTAGATTTAAACTATTGTTTGGGACTTTATATCAAAAACAAACAAATTATTTTTGAGTTTATATCAACAATTTATTTAGTAAAAGTAATATATAACATGTGTTAACTATACGGTATATTAATTTTGTAAAAGTAATATATAATATATGCTTATTAATGTATACATACATAAACAACATAGTATAGTAAAAATTACTAAAATATGAACAAATACAAGATATGAAATTTTAAGAATCTTTTAATTTTTTTCCAATTATAATTATATGGAAACAAATTTATTTTTTAAAAAAGTAATCCGCGGTGTAACGCAAATTTTTATTTAGTATAGAATAAAAAAAAAAAACCACGGAGGGATAAAACATAAATACAAAAAGGTAACAAATTCTCGAGTAAACGGTAAATAGTAATAAAACTTAAAATTTTCGTTTAAGAAAATAAAAATTAAATTTAGCTTTAATGTTTTGTTTTTTAACTTAAAACAATTCTTTAATTTTTTTGTTACCAGCTTAAAACAATTCCATATGAGAAAGAAACACTATAAAAAAAGCAGGAAGCATAAACCACGTATATAAATATAACCAAAAAAAAGTTTCAGCAAAATCGACCCAGCAACAAAAAAATCCAATTGGATAATCCGATTTCTCTAATCGCTCCAATCAAAGACAGTGTCGATTCGCGCCGCGAGTCTTGCTTCGTCGGAGACGGTGCTGCTGCGTCGTACACGGTGGTGTTTCGTTGATTCACGTAAGTCTTCTAAAACGTTGGAGATTCGCGCCGAGTCTTACTTCGTCGAGTCTTGCTTCGTCGAAGGCGGTGGTGCTTTGCCGTTATACGACGAGTCTTGCTTCGTCGAAGGCGGTGGTGCTTTGCCGTTTCACGCCGAGTCTTGCTTCGTCGAAGACGGTGGTGCTTCCAAATCATTGGTGCTTTGCCGATTAGAGCCGCGAATCTTCCTCCTTCACGGTAGTGCTTCTTCGCGAGTCTTTCTTCTTCACAGTGGTGCTTCTTCGCGAGTCATTCTTGTTCGGTGGTACTTCGCCGAGTCTTACTTCGTCGAAGGCGGTGGTGCTTTGCCGTTTCACGCCGAGTTTTGCTTCGTCGAAGGCGGTGGTGCTTCCAATTCGTTGGTGCTTTGCTGATTAGAGCCGCGAATCTTTCTTCTTCACGGTGGTGCTTCTTCGCGAGTCATTCTTGTTCGGTGGTACTTCGCCGAGTCGTATTCTTGTAAGATAACTGATGCTTAACTTCGGAATTGATATATTGATGCAAATTTGGTAGATCTTCTAAGGAGCTTTTATCAAAGTTGACAGGTTTTGAAATTCACGTTTTCTTTTAGTAGCCTTGTTTAAGTTTTCAGGTTTTGTTTCTGAGCTATTGTCTTCAATGTATGTAACTTTCCTTGTTGTAGTTTCTTTAGATGAAATCCATTGGCTCTTAGGATTAGATAGTTTCTGTCTAATTATGAAACTCATGGGGCTTAAAGCTATTTTCTTTGATTCGTATAGATTCAATTGAAGATTGAAGAATGGATGCTCCTAATCAACAGGTTGTGTGGGTGGCTAGTGAGCTAACGGTTCCCCGGCTGAACCATCTGATTGGTCTCATCAATCAATGGTCCATGAACAGTATTGAGTACGAGAATGGAGCGATTGTGCAGATTGCATATCAGTGGGTTCCAGGTACTATTGTACCATACTTTGGACTTGGTGGAGGTGGCTTTGGCGGTGAAAGGAGATGGTGGGGGTGGTGGAGGTGGAGGTGGCTTTGGCGGGGGTGGTGGCTTTGGTGGTGGTGGCTTTGGCGGCGGGGGCCTTGGCGGTGGTGGCTTTGGCGGTGGCCATGGTGGACTAAATAATCAACAGAATGTCCAACCGGAAATCGTGGATGTTTCGGATAATGAAGGAGAAGAAGGCGAAGATCATGTAGCTGGACATGACAATCAAAGAAAGAGTAAGCGAAAGAGGCAACATACGAAAAAGAAGAGTGTTTTTTCTGACCTTTCAAATCCTCATCAACTAGAATCAGGGGAGAAGAAGAAGAAGGACTGAAGAAAGAAGCAGCAGAAGAAGATTCAGAAAATCTGACAACTCTCATTTGTGTCCCAATGACAAGTTTGTACATGATAAGAATACGTAGAGTGCTTTAGATAGAGTCTAGAAGATCCCTTGAATTTGATTCACTGTTAGAGGCACAAAAAAAATAGAGTGCTTTTTTGTTCTATTTTTTTTTTTTTTTTTGTGAGTCGAATTGTAATATTGATGGCAGAGTATAAAGAAAAATAAACAGAATTTCTCCTTCATGGTGAAGCCAAGAGGTTTAGGTAGCATCATTATCCATCTGAGTCATTGGAATTTGGAACAGCGAACACTACCGAAAACTAACTCATCTCATTAGCTCCAAACTCATCTCACTAAGGCACATCTCACCAATTATGTCAAGACAGACACGGATCAAGTCGATAACACCCATTAAAATCCTAATAAACATAGTTTCTTGTGTATCATATAAAAGAAAAACTCGAAAAAAACTGAAAAAAAAAAACAAGTGAAAGAAACATAAATAATCAAGAAGCACGTTGAGGGAGCGGATTTAGCCAGCGTGGGAGCACATACTGTGAAAAGTAGAGATCGTGAACACCACCGTATATTGCATTGGCGAAAATTGGATAGATCAAGTCCATATACTCCTTGCAACCGCTAAATCTCATGATGCAACCATCCATAGACTTTTTCACCTTCTCTTCCGGTGATAACTTCTTGCGAAGACTATACCTGAATGTCCTCAAGTTTAACGACATCATAGCGTTCTTGTTCCTACACCACATGTATATGATCTCATAGTTCAAAGGATGCATTACCACGGGAAAATAATCAGCATAAAACTTGCAAATGGGGTTTAGTTTCCACGAGAGTTGCCATGCGTTAGGATGATCATCCGTAGAGATCAGCCTCCAAACCATGATTGTACGGCCTCCATTATCCGAGAAAATGTTGCAATACACCACAAATCCTGCAGACATTGTGATTGTTCTCTTGAAACACCGAGCTTGTTGATATTCTTGGAAATCAGGAAAAGGTATAGTACGACACTCATCATCATCAACTCCATTATAGAAATCATATGATACAATATAATTTGCGTCTATGTCGCTACCAATAGAGGAAAGCCAGTGAAGAATCCCGTTTAAAGGAACCGAATACTTTAGTCTAGACCAAATCATGGAACGTTTACAACGCACATTTTCGGTTTTCCACACTCCTGTTTCAGAAGAATATATCATAAAAGTGAGTTTAGTAGACACAAACCATGACACCAACATCCACACTACCTTGTACCCCACGACAATACCCTTTTCCATCTTTGTAACAAGTCCAGTGTCGCTGAAAAACATGCTCTCTTGTAACCTCACTACATCAAAAACCGTGAGATGTGGAGGAAGAGGGATTTGAACCCATTGTTGCAACAAAGGGTTTCCGACATGATACATTGGTGCACCTTCGATGGTTTCGGTATAAAGCAATACAATTCCATCCGTGCAGCTCAAGACACAAGTTTTTCTCAATGGTGTGTCAGATTTGTTATGCATGTAAGAGCCTAGAGAATTTTTAAGTCCCCATCTTTGGCATCCATGGTGTCCCACGATCTCTGACGCAAATGTTTGGTTCCTTGTACTCATGATTGACCACGAAATGGAGGAGGACGAGTTTAGAGACTCGTACTGATCTCTGAAATAGTCGGAATTGATTATCGATTTCCATTCTTTGCATACTGATATAAATCTTGCGATGCTCGTCAATGATAAACGAGCCAATATTTTCACCAACACTTCCTCTGGAACCACCAGTTTTATTCTTTTCGTCATTCTAGATTGAGTGTTATAGGGTTCTAAGTTTTATTTTTGGTTCTAAGATCTATAGAACTCTCTATCATACTGTGTAACTCTATCTATATTTAAAAGAAAAAAGAATTTTACTGTAAAATGATTAAATCGATTACTTATATTGAATTTTTTACCAAATTAAATTGAATTTTTTTCATATAGATAGAGACAAATCGAACACAAAAATAAAATAAAATTTAGCTTAATTTTTTTTTATCTTTTAGCTTAACACAATTCCGCTTGAAAAAAAAACAAAGAAATAAATAAAAGAAGCACAAGTCCAGTTGTCAAAATTTGATTGGGCATCAGTCATATATTATCATAAAGAAAATGAATTTTAGCTTAAATCTCCCAATTTCTTTAACCGCTCCAGTTATTAGATCTCCGATTTCTAGATTCTGATCAATCCAAATCGGAGACGGTGGTGCTTTGTCAATTCACGCCGCGAGTCTTTCTTCGTCGAAAACGGTGTTGCTCCGTCTATTACCGCCGCGAGTCTTGCTTCGTAGAAGACGGTGGTGCTTCGCCGATTCACGCCGAGTCTTCTTCTTTTACGACGGTAGTGCTACGCGAGAAGGTGATTCTTGTAAGTGTTTTGCCTCACAAGATTCAATGTTACGTGACTCGTAGTATTCGATGGTTTAGTTTAGTCAATCTTGTGGAATCCAAATATGCAAATTGATGTTTACTTGAGATTTGCTAAGTCTTTGGTTTTATGCAAATTGGTTTGATACTTTAAAGATTCAATGTATGTTTATTCGTTGTTGAAAGTTTCTTTCTTTAGATGAATCCATTGACTCTTAGTATTAGATGGTTTCTGATTATAAAACTTATTGGCACTTAGCTATTGTCTTTGATTTGTGTAGTTCATTTGAAGAGTGAAGATAGCAGAAATGGACGCTGGAATTGAACAGTTTGTGAGGGTATCATGTCGGCTATCGGTTTCCCGACTGAACTATCTGATCAATCTCATCAATGCATGGTCGACGAACAGTATCCATTACGATGATGGTGTGGTTGTGGAGGCTGTATACAAATGGGTTCCGGGTTCTCTTGGACTTGAATTGGTTGGGGAGGGAGGTGAGGGTGACGGCTTTGGCGGAAATAATCAACAAGGCCTTGGTGGGAATGATCAGCAAGCCGTCCCAGCTGCAGTCGCTGGAGTTTCGGATAGTGAAGGAGATGAAGCCGCCTTAGATGAAGATCGTGAAGCTGGAGATGACCAACAGAGCAAGAGAAAGCGAAAGAGAGAACAGAAGGAGAAGAAGGATGGTCAGGAGGAAGAGAAGGAGAAGAAGATTCAGAAACTCTGATAACTCGTCAGTACATGATGATAAGTAGTAGTGTTTTACTTGGAGTATAGAAGAATCCATGAATTCGTTTTAAAGTTTGTGAAAATTTTGAGTCAGTTTTTGATGTTTTTGAATTACATACTCGAAATTCGACCGCAGAGTAAAGAAAATAATACTAGATCTTGATTCTTGCTTCTGTACATTTCACATTTCAAGAATATAAGAACCTAAGAAATCATTTGGTCATCAAGTAGTTTAACACATGAAAAATTAAAAGAGTTAAGCAAGTGATCAGAATCAGACACAATGATTTACATGTGACCTTATAGAAACTCTTAACCAAATTACCAGCAAACCACCTCCAAGATACGAATCAATTGATACATTATGAAGAATCAAACGGGTTTTTGTATATAGATCAAACATCATTAAACAAGAGTGTATTTATGATCACAGTTCTTATTCTGCATGCATGTCCATTGAAGAATCAATAGAACCTGGAGAGTTAGATCCCCTGTTCACTTCACTGCTTCTCGTTCCGCCAGATGTGTAGGCTCCCTGCGGAATTTGGTAGTTCTGAAGACTACGCCGTATTGGGCTGGAAAGTGCATTTGAGAAAACCGAGTTCTTGGCCTGGTTCTCACATTGCTCAGACCGAACCACAGGAACAGGTGTTGGGAAAGAAGTACCTGAAGTGGCCATGAGCCCGGAATTTGTGACATGCATTGTTGGTTGTGTTGGTGGCGCTCTTGGAGATATTGGAGGCTCGTCTATGCAGCATTCGAGCTCGTTCTGCATTGGGGAAACCAGAAACTCAATCAAGAACAGTAAACAAATCTGACCACATGTTAGGTTAGATAGATAGAAGTCATATGAACCTGAATATAATTGACTATATCCATAGGTGTCACTCTTGACCCTCCTTCTTGTTGTCTCCATATCCATTGGTACAGTTTTTCCTGAAATAGGGAAGATAAAGCAGTACATTCTCGTGAGCGTCTATTGTTCCCAATTTGGAGCTGCCACAGAGCTTCTTTAACTTGGGTTAAGGGTGCATAGAACAAGCAAGAGATGCATAAACTAAGACACATAACCTATTCCACATACTTATCTCACACACAACATGTTATCTTCCAAGTATAGGTTGCACATCACAACCCATTATCCCCATATTAAGTAAAATTTCAGTACACCAAAGAAAGACAAGAACAAACATCACAATATTACTCTACTCGTCAACATCTTATATTCAAACAAATACAATCACTCAATATAGTGAACAAGACCGCATACAAGAGAACGCTAACCCTATCATATTAAGTGTACTATACAATTCATGTAGCTAGGAAGCACCTATACAGGAAATATTAGCACTAGAGCTAACACAAATGGAAGGACTAGACAACGATGGGATGTTCCGACATTCGTTCTGTTTATAATAAGACTTTTCTTGTTTCATTTCCATCTTCAAGCTTCATAGCCTTTATTTCCTTTGCCATCAACTAGCTTTCATATTCTAAACTACAGTTCTAAAATGTTTAGACAGAACACATTATACAAAGGAAAGATAGATAGGAAGAAGAAGACTGAATGGCTGTGTTAAGTCTGATGGGAAGCTAAAGAGACTGAATGTGAATAGAGAGTCTGCTTCAAACATATAGCTAAAGGACTAACTATAATTTGATTCAAGCAACATAAACAAACATACCACTCACTATTTACTACCAATTCAAAAACCCTTAAAGCCAAAAAAGAAAGATACATTCACATCTTTGGCTTAGGTTCCATTGATAGAAGATACAATTACACACATAAACTTCACAAAAACAAGAAAAACAAAAAAAACATCTTTATCTACAAACACAAGTCCAACAAGAAGTCTCAAGCCATGTGGAAGAAGACAATCAAAATCAAAACTTTATTGTCTTGGTGAAGAAAAACAAAGAATCAAGAAAGGGTAAAAGGGTAAATTAATAAACATACCAAACCATGGCGTTCACCGGCTTGAAAAGATAGTTTCTGATGATTCATAGACTGAGTATAAAGCTGAGATAAAGAGTTAGCGGCGGTGCGAAAAGAAGCGTAAACAGTCCGATCTACCTCATCGAGACTCGTCGCTGTTGATTTTCTCTTCTTACCCATCCCTCCGATGTCGCCTATTTAATATTACACGGCCACGATTCCGTCGGCGATGACGGATTCGTCGAATCCGAAGATCGGAGATTGATTGATAGAGAGATTATGAAAGAGAAAGGAATTGGGTAGAGGGTTACTTCTCACTTTATACGAAACGGCAGCAAGACACAACAAGGTTTTGTTTTTTTTTTTGTTTTTTTTTTTTTTGGAGATTACTTTTTCTTAAGTTTTGGAAATTTTTTGTTAAATATCTTTTTCAAGAGAGTTTTAGCAAAAAAAATTATCAATTTTTGAGTTGTTGATTACAAAGTAGAGATTTGAGAAGAGAGGTAATTAAAAAAGGTTAGAGGGAAGAGGAGAATTTACAAACCTGTTAAAGGGTAAAATAGAATATGTAAATGGTTAAATATATACTTTCTGAAATAATGTTATACTTATACATATCTCTATGAATTTATTTAGGGGTTTCTTTAAGGTTTTAGATTGTTTTCCTAATTTTTTTGATTGCACAAAGATTCTTATTCATTTTTAGAGTTTTCTCTCTTAAAGGTAGAAACAAAGAGAGATTGAGAGCAAAAGAGCCAAGCCAAAGAGAAAATATAAAATTGTAATCCCTAATTTTTTAACCTTGGTAAAATTTGGAGCAGCATTAAATGGGCCTATTTTCACAATAAGAGTGAACATCTATAATTTGTGTGTATATGTTTTTTTTTAATGTTAGCCGGTAAAAAAGGTTATCATATGACTTGTAAGAGTGGTTCGATTTAATTTAGAGTCTAACTGGTTTAAACGCAACAGGTGCATATGCGATTGTTGGATTTTGCGGAAGCGGATGGTTACAGTGTCAAGTGTTATTAAGCGTTTTGAACTACTGGTTTAGCTTTTGAAAGTAAGTGTGTTTGCGTGAGTTTTAACGGGTGCAATACCGGTTAGGTAAAAAATGACCAAAATAAATATAATATATTACTATAAAAAAGAGAAAATATAAAATTGTAATCCCTAATTTTTTAACCTTGGTAAAATTAGGAGCAGCATTAAATGGGCCTATTTTCACAATAAGAGTGAGCATATATAATTTGTGTGTATATGTTTTTTTTTAATGTTAGCCGGCAAAAAAGGTTATCATATGACTTGTAAGAGTGGTTCGATTTAATTTAGAGTCTAACTGGTTTAAACGCAACAGGTGCATATGCGATTGTTGGATTTTGCGGAAGCGGATGGTTACAGTGTCAAGTGTTATTAAGCGTTTTGAACTAGTGGTTTAGCTTTTGAAAGTAAGTGTGTTTGCGTGAGTTTTATGATTGTAAACTAACGGGTGTAATACCGGTTAGGTAAAAAATGACCAAAATAAATATAATATATTACTATAAAAAAAAAGTGTAAAACACCAAAAATATATTTTTAATTTTCATTGGAATAAAAGTTTGTTTTATTTTTTAAAGTCCAACCACTACTGTCCGCAACCGCAAATGCTCGCCGAAAGGAGCTTTTGAAATCCAGCAATTTCGAACCGTCTAAAACAGTATAAAGTAGTTTTATAATTGTTATCAATCGCTAACTGTTACCACCCGCCAACATTGTGGTAGTGAGAGAACAAATTAAGCCTGATTATGTTTACTTTGATTTAGTTTTTGGTTCAGGTTGGTTAAATTTAGAGAAATTGCACCCTATAACCTAAAAAAACAACAAAATTAAATATCTAACCTCTAACCCCCTTATTCACTATCTCTCTCTACCTTCTTTCTAAAAAACTAATTTTTCTTTTTTTTTGGGTTATTCACCTAAATCACCCTTAAATTTACAATAAACCAATTTCAGTTTAAAACGGGTATTATTAAATTTTAAAGTACAACTGGTTTGACCTTGTATTATCTTGAGCGTGACCATCAATTTTAGTCAAAGAAGTTAATGTTGATTTAACCCGGTTTAGTATCTGAATTCTAACAGTTCACACCGAAATCAAAGAATCAAGTGGGCCAGGCCAATTTTAAGCAACCTGCTAGTGCTGAAACTATAGAAACAATAAAGAAACTATATTGAACACTATTCAAGAAAGAAGACAACAAAGATAGTGGAGCAATGCAATTACAAATCTAATTGTGGATTCTTCGATGACGTATGATGATCTCCTGAAGAAATATAGCTCCTGCTGCAACTATGAACACCGTCAATGTATTGATCTGGTCTGTTGATAGTTTAATCGATTCTTTAGTTCTTGACTCATAAGCGTCCTTTTATACCACAACACAACATTATAAAAGATGTTGGGATTTAATAGACTATCAATTATCAACAAAAAAAAAGGTGATGGAAAATTATTGAATAGTACTAGGATAAAATCTGCGCTACGCCGCGGGGTATTTTTCTTAAATTGTGTTTACATTTCAATTCAAACAAAAAAAAATTATCTAAGAAACTAATCTTATAAAGTCTAGAGTGATGCTCCATTGCACATGTTTCCTTTAAAAAAAATCAAAAGAATTAGTGGTTTTATTGGAATGCTTTTGATTAGCATCTTTTCGTTAATCTTTATGTTGGAGATAGAGAGAAAAAAAGAATCACCGATTTAAAAAAAGAATCGAATTTGAATGATTTTGGTTGTGTCTAATCGCATATAAGTAAGTTCGAAAGAGTAAGTTAATTAGATCGAGATATTTTTAAAAATTAATTTTGTTTTATTATATTAACACAAATATTTGTTTTATTATAAATACAAAAATTAAAAAGCTTTTAGAATTAATATTTTGCCTTTGCTCAGATTTTATAGTTTTTATTGTCATACTCTTTGTATTTCTATATAATAAGGTGATAACATGGTATGAGAAAGTTAAATTTTCGCTTTTATCTCTCTTTTTGAACTATTAAACATTCAGCACATTGATTTCTTTACGATCCATTTCAGCACATGGATGCGAGAAATAACTAACAATCTCAGCTAACTAACAACAAACAAACAAAAAAAACTTTATTGAGATTGTTTATGTTATTCTTGTTTTTTTATTACATCGTATAAATAAAACAAACCCTCATAAGATTATGTTTAAATCTTCTTTCTAATTCCAGGTGTGATTCAACTCTCTAAACTCTCAATCATTTCTTCTTGTTCTTTTCAATTACTGTTTAATACAATCAAACAAAAACAGAATGCTCTGTTTATTTTCTCTTTGTTCTTTAATCACACAACAAAACAGAAACTGAAAACAAAAAGAAATTAAGAGGATTAGTGGCTTTATTTCAGTGTTTACAAGAAGTTCTTTTTGAGTAGCATCTTTCCGTTAATATTTATTGTGGAGACTGAAACAAGATACAAAACAAAAAGAATAACATTTTTGTTGCAGTGTTTATCGAATAATGTATACTTGACATGGTTGTCTACTTTCATGACGCAAAAGTGTGATATTGGCTGGATGTCTATACATTGAAATACAAGAAAAAGAGTGGTTTCAAGCTCACATCAAAGTAATTTAGAAATATAAAGTCCTGAAAAATAAGAAAAATCTATTTCCAGTGGAGCAATGCATTTACGACTTAAAGAACAATTTCAAGAGAACTATAATATGGATGACGAGCAATGGCTAATGGAAAGAATAATTTCTCTTTAAAATAACTTACCTTCTTTTACCGAGAAAATCCACCACAACAAATTAAACTACGCCCAAATTTATGACAACTTCAAAATGCATAACATTGACGAAAATATAAAGCTTAAAGTCTCAAACTGCATATAGAAAATCACACACATTAATACAACAAACGAAGAGGAGACTGATTAACGCACATAGAATTTATCATTTTATTGTTAGATAGTTGCCTAGAAATATTAAAATATTTGGCAATTCCATCAATAAAATCACTATATCATACATTTAATAAAGAGAAACTTACTAGATTGACCCAAATAATGACTTTAATTACTAGAATGTCTCATAAAATATGGGGGTTAGACTGGTTATTTTTATGACGATAATACCCTTGCTCTCTTTGTTGGGAAAAAAAGAGAGTCAAATTTACCCCTAAAATTTTTCGAAAAACGTCAGAAAAAATTTAGGAAATTTTTTTGGTTTTTGAAAAGTCTGCTGGGTTCGTTATGACAGATTTATTTTAAATGGCAGACTTATTTATCAACGACAGATTTTTTGTGACAGATTTTTTATCTCTCACAGACTTAATTTAACAAGTTGTGGCAGACTTAAGTTAACACCACAGACTTTCATCACTTTGACAGATTTATTAAAATTAGTGGCATTTATGTTCCTAGTGGCCTCAGACTTTAAATTTTCATAAAAATATCTGTCATCAAGTGACAGATTTGTTTTTGGAAAAATAATTACCTCTAATTACTAGAATGACTTAGTAGTGATAACAGATTTTTTTTATGTTATGACAGTTTTTTTTTTAAAACAAAAAAAAACTGTCAAGTGATAGCAGATTTGTCATTAAAAAAAAAAAATTGCTAGATTAACTTACAATCGCAAATGAAATATTTCTGTGATGACAGATTTTATTTACATTATGACAGATTTAGGATCAGTTCAAAGAAAACTGTCACATTACGACAGATTTAGTGATGAAAAAAGAAATTGCTGGAATGACTTCGTATAGTGATGACAGATATGTTTTATGCAATGACAGATTTTAATTTTTATTCATGTTATGACAGATTTTTTATACATATTTGATGACAGAATTTTCATGATGGACTACATGACAGACTTTTTAAACACGACAGACTTTTTTGTTTTGAATTTCCATAACTGAAAAATAATAAATGACGAAATAATCTAACTTACCTTATTTTCCTAGGGTTTTGGGCTATCCTAACCGTTTCTCTACCTCTTGGACGACAACCAACAAAAGTTCATACAAATAAACCGTTTCTCTATCTATCGTTTCTCTAGGGTTTTTGAAATTCACCATGATGTCTCAAAAGAAAGGGTTGGAGATGGATCCGGTGATTCTCGTATGTGGCAAATGGATTTTCGAGAATAACACATGGTCGTTCATCATTGATACAAATAGAGGATGTCGAGTTCTGGAAGCTAATAGGGAAACCAGTTACTCTCAATGCATTCGAATGGTAATGGAGGATTACGGAATCGAGAATAGAGGCTGTGATGTTGTGTTGAGTTACAAGATTTCGAAGAT